ATGGCTCCGGATTGAAGACGCTCCAGCTACCGTGCTGCAGACCGGCGCTCAAGTTACCAGGGAGGGCATAGCGTTTCGTCGTTTCGAGGTCCATGTCGTTTGCGCGGGCGGGCGAGTCATAGTCGAAGAATGGGTGCATAGCCTGCACCTCACCAGCGTAGGCATCCATGCGGCGGGCCGTCTCTCGTGATTTGATGTAACCCCAGACCATGGGCGCCATATCGCGCTCGTCGTTCATGAAGCCCGTGTCGAAATCAGGGGTCTCGTAGGGGTCAGCCGACTTGATGTGGGTGGACCCTCGGGAGAATGGGTACTCCAGGAAGTGGAACATGGTGAAGAAGTTTCCAGGGGGCCTGCACAGTTAGTACCGACGAGAAATGGGATCGCGCCTGTTGAGTGTTGCTTACATCAGCATGTGGTCGCCAAACCAACCGGCGATGACGGAGTAGTGCATGACTGGCTTGTCGGGTTTGTCCTTAAAGTATGTCTTCCAGCCCTCAGTGAACTGCGGTGTGGGCCAAGACTCGAACTCCTTGAGTTCCTGCTCATTCGGCCGGACCTTTACACCGGCCTCGATACCATTGGTGGAAAGGGGTCCGGTTCCCTTCAATGCCCATTCATCATAGACCCCTGGAGCAAGATTAGAAATCACTACGAGATAATTGCGCAGTTACGGCCATGCTTACTCTTCTGTACTTCCGGTACACCTCGGACGAAGTCATCGAAACTCTCTGTTTCTGGCTTCGCACGGTATACGGAGAAGGTCAGGTAGTGGTCTTGGAAGTTGAGTCCAACACCGGGAAGATCAACGATTGGCTCGACACCAGCAGCCTTCAGCTTCTCAGGGTCACCTATATCTGATTAGCTTCAGGAATTACGGGTTTCGGCTTTATATACGTACCGATACCAGACCGCTGGAGGATTAGAGGGGAAGAGAGGGTTCCTCCGGAGACGACTATCTGCTTGCGGGCCTTAAAGGTGCGGGTCTTCAACTGGTTAGGGTGAAGCGGCTTAGTTGGGCTTCAAATGTGTCAGTCTCAGTTAAAATTCGAAGAAGATCGGGTCTTACACTGTCTGAACAGCTACAGCTCTGCCATTCTCAATAATGACCTTGTCTACCTTGGTATTGCAAGCAAGGTACAGGTTGTCATAGACAGCACGGGTCGAATGAACGTAGGCATGAGCACTATCACTACGTCGTCCAGTCTAACGTCACAGATAGTCAGCCGTGATACTTGATGATAAGGGGTTCAGGTAGCGTACATCGCGATTGATCCATTTCAGCCAATGTTCAGCTCCATGGCCGGTGCTCAGGTCTTCTAAGTCATCAACGAAGGGGATATCTTGAGATTCCGCCGCCCTGAGAAAGTCATCCTTCACAGGGTATGTGCTGAAGCAAGGTCAATTATAGGGGCATTCACTACTGGTATATCTGACTCACTAGTTTCCGAATGAGACCTTGATTGGTCCTTCGAATCCGTGGAGATCCCTTTACTGGTTAGCACACCTCACTTACGCCAGTCTCGGAACACTTACTTGTTGTGGCAAGCCCGCTGGTAAGTCTCATGCTTCTTCATAAGTGGAAGAAGTTCCTTGGTGGTCCATCCCTTAGCCTGGAAGTCGTCATAGTCTGAGGCTGAAGCACGTGTGTACATCTGGGAAACGTTAGCTGCAGGTAACTTGACCTCCTAGTCTCTTTACATACCAAGAAATTAATGCTGGAGCCACCTCCCAGGATGTGGGCACAAGGTACCACTGCCTTTCGACCAGAGAGGTGCTTAGATGGGCGGGACTCATAGAAAGAGGCGGTCTTTGAGTCCAATTTCATATTACGGGGGTAAACGCCCGGCCTGAAAACCCATGGGTTGTTCAGATTGCTCTCGCCAGCCTCAATAAGGAGAACCTTGAGGTTATGATCCAAATTCGCCAGGCTAGGAATGATGAGTACGAGATTTCATGCAGGCAGCTGGATCAAGACGTACCGACCAGCAACTACACATCCACAGCTTCCACCCCCGCACACAATGATATCGAATTCGTCTGGTAGAGGGCTCATGTCTTATTCTTGGTTTTGTTCCTGACTGAAAAGTTCGGAGAACATGTCGTGAAACAACTTTGAGGGGTGTTGATTGCGTACTTATGCTTCAACGAAGGTTGAACAGACGAGATCTACAAATATCCGCGAGAAGAGGGGGTTCTACAGGACTGCATACCCCTAAACCTTATCCTTACACATCTTGTATGAAGCCGCCAATGATGGCTCCTTGTCACTAGGCTATGCATTCTAGCTCTAATGCTAACTATATTCCCCCAACAGCCCCTTGCCCGGTAACTATTCGAGATGCCTGCCAGCTCACACGCGTGGTCATCTGATATCTGTTAATGCAACATCTCTGCATGTGTACCACTCACCAAGAGATGCTGGTCGGAAGGAATTGGGACAAAGGCTCCAAGAAAGTACTCCCTAACCAGATTATAGAGGTCCCGGCCAACCAGAAGACGAACAACCGGGTTCTGTCCTCTGTCCAAACCGCCCTACATTGAGTGTTCATTTAAACCTACCCGCGCCACCAACCTTGATGCTCCCCCATTGTAACTGGTACGTGCTGTCCGGCCAAAGTTGACGTTTAAGAGAAGTAATTGTGACGTCGCCTAACAGCGGCATCTCGGTGAGGCTCGGAAAGTTAGTTCTCGACAGCCTTGTGGTCTGCTACCCCTGTTGGCGTGCTGGACTGGGTCACTCTGCATCGAGCTACGCGCGTCTCAGCCACTAGCGGATGCAGTCCGCATGCAAGAGAAAAGGTAGAATGCGGGGGAAGCTAATGTGAAGCTCAAATACCCGACAATCTGTATGCACCCCCTGCTTCCCCGCAGTCTTCGAGGTGGATATTATGGTTCTTTTATTGCGTTGGTCTATCCGAAGACAGCACACTGCATGGTTAGCCTGCGCCAATGAATGTCATGCCGTACCTTAGCACTCGTTGTTCGCGTCTTATACGACCTATTTCAGTCGTCCTGGTACGGTTAGCAGCTTCCCGTCCACAACTTGGCGAGAGGACTTTTCTTGGTTCCCCATCATCTCCCGAGAATAAATCAACTATTTAAGACTATAAAGGTGGATCAAGTGACGCTAGGGTACGTACGGTTCTTTTATGAAGCCGTACGAGCCGAGAGAATAGCCTCCTTCTGAATGAGATATAGTCGACCGGCAACACGAAGTCGAAAAACTCGGCCATCACGATGCTGAACTGCCGACGGAACCGTTACTGGGCGATCCTACCTGTGCTACTCGAGACGCAGAGCCATCTTCTTGTTGCATTCGATTGCTGCATCCAACGAGGGGAAATTGGAGAAACTGACATCTCATACTGCAACAAATAACCCGTGATTTTTCCTTCTGACCAATTCGAGCAGTACGCCCTGCACCACTCGACCTCGAGGGCCAATATCAAACCTAGCCAGAGTTACACATACTTTGAACGCTTTTGGCGGGGGTCATATAATGCGGATCGGTCTGATTCTATGCCATGGCTTATACCGAGACAGATCGTCGTCATGATGAACACACCGGGTCATTCCATGGTAAACCAGAGGATCATGGCCATTTTCGTCTCGTTTCAGAAACTTCCGGCTTCCTCTACCGCAGAACGCAGAGTATTGAAAGTACTGTATGTAGGTAGCTGGGTAGTTGGTGCTAGTAATGGATTCGATACCGATACTGGAGTCCCCTGGCGCTTCCTCCAATTCGCGTGGTTGCGCTCATGTATTGTTTATGTATTGTTCATGTAAGAACCCGTTGCTATAGGATCGCAGCTTGGAGCCTAGAAAAGCGATTGGGTCTGGGCCTCTGAAATGTTGAAAAGCATCATGGTTTGCATGACAGGTCGACCAATAAACGCCCCTCGGAACCGCTCCCCCCACGCAGAGCTCAATTTCCAACTGTAACACGATGACGGTCGCGGTGGTAAATCTATTCGCGCCTTGAGCTCGTCTAAGACGTCTCTATAAGCTCTATACCCAGATACTCGGCGATTATATCGATGCATGTCAACTTTCCGAGCCCATTGACCGGCCGGCCATCTTTTTCTTATCAGCAATGCATACACCCATATTAACTGTACATAGGCAAAGTGGTGTACAACTGCGACCCATAGGTAATAGCCATCCTACATCTATCTGTACGGTGATATAATATCTTGGATGCCATGCAACTGCCGTTACACCTGCCACAATGTCACAGGTATCCCGTGTATCAGGGTTGAATACGTGTCACAATTCATGATTCTTGCCCTGGGCTATCTCTAGTGCTCGACCTTTGTTCTTTCTCATAACTGGGATGAGACTATACTTTACAAAGGAGATATCTCGGTATATGATATGGGTTTGCACTCTCGGCGTGGACTAGTTATCCCACTAGGTTGGAAGAATAGAGTATTCACCTATACACGACTTGCATTATACTTGGGGGCGAAACTTAACGATTGGAGGAATAATCTATAGGAATAGGAACACATGTGCTTTCCTAAACTTCATAGGGCTAGAGATATTCCATAGAAAAGATATTGGTGTCTCATTTGTATTTCGTACGTAATTTAACCCGTCACACATGATCGCCGCTTCGTACAGTGACACTACTATTAACATGATTCCTGTATTGGTGACTATAGTGATTCTAAGGGTTGACTGATTACTTCGTGTATAGCTGGTAATTATATAGGTCTTAGACCTATCATGGTCTTTAAACCTTAAATACCACACATCTCATGTGAGATAAAGGACCAGGGAATTTATTAAAGGTTTTGAACGGCTTGAATTTCTGTAGGGGGCCTCTTTATACGCATTATACCCGAGGTTGAGTGAAGGGAAGGAACAAACACGTTAATTTACGAATATTGCTCAAAACACTTTATAGTATCAACAAGAAGCATGCTTGTATAGTTCGTAATAACGAGAAGGTTTTCAATATCTAGAGACCAAAAGTGGATCCTGTTCACCATCTAGCCCGACTAGCTCACCGGTAGAGCGCCTCACTAGTATAGACAAGCAATCGAGGCGATGAGGAGGCAACAGGTTCGACTCCTGTGTTGGGCAATTTCTCTTTTATCTACATTTTTGCCCCTTTATGCCGAACAACCACTCCTAAATCTCAGTTGGCTTTTTATAATTTTACTTTCACATCGTTATTTATTCCATTTCCCTTCTTTTTTTTTTTTTTAACTCTTTTCCTTATATGACTGCATTGCTAGTACCCAACTTTTCAGATCTACGGCAGTGAATAGAAACGAGATTGTTTGTTACGATATGTCTTAAGACTGTGTGGGTCAGATCCGATAACTGTTCGAACCGATAACCTTCCTGCACATTTAGACGGTAATAACAGACTGGAATCTCAACAAACAGCACAGGCAAGATGGCCGAGTTGGTTATGGCGTGAGGTTAAGGTCACCTTAGCATCTAATTCCTCATGGAGCAATCCGCGTGGGTTCAAGTCCCACTCTTGTCACATAAATTTTTTTTTCGACTTTTTTGTGGTTCACTAGGGCTGGAAGGCATCGTGTCTGTGGGTCCTCAACGACTACATCGAAATTTCGTAACATTTAAATAGGTACAGGGTATTTATTTTCTTGGACCTTGCCAACTTTCAGTCTAAAAAACTCCTCGTATTTACATAGCGAAAGACCGTTGAGAGGCACACTATACTAGGAGCTTGGACTCTCACAAATGTCGGTTCCCATACCAAGCACCTATCAATCTAGGCCAAACGCCTTTAGTCTTCCTCGACTTCCTCTTCGCTTGTGATCTCGGCATCGTCGCTGTAGTCAGTGGATCCGTCGGAGCTGGTGTTGTCAGGGGTAGAATCATCAGAGTTATCGTCGTCAGAGCTACCGTCGTCAGAGTTATCGCCATCAGAGCTGTCCTCCAGGAGGGGGCTATCTTGTATTCTCAATAGTTCTATCGGTAGGGTAGGGTCCCACTGATGGATCGGTCTCAACATCTTGGAGAAGCTGGCCTGGAAAATCTCGAGCCACTTAGTACCGCAACTATCGCTGATCTCAACAGACTGGAGCTTGTCCAAGCATCGAATTGCTGGACGGAGGGTTCGAAGATCTTGGTGTATACAGCAGGCGCATTGGAACTTTGCACCTTTCACCTCTATGCGGAGGTGAGTGATGTTGACGAGCTGATCGGCAAGCATGTGTAGATAGTCGCCGAATTCTTCTAGCAAATTATATCGGCACTCTCCTCGGTAAGTGATTGACAAGCGACGGATCTTATCCACCCAGAATCCACCAACAAATCCGACTTTGCATAGCTCGCCAGCTTTTCCCTTTGCTTCAACCTCTACAAGACCGCAGAGTACCGGGAATGCCTCTTTGTATGCTCGCTTGCATGTCAAGAATAGATTAGGGGCGCCAGAATTACTCAAAGTGGCATCATGCTCCAGCTCGTGTGTGTGCACGCAGATGAGAAAGCCACTGCTCGGGCGTGTAAGGCCATAGATCTGGTTTCGAATCTCGGGAGGTATACGAGAGAAAAAAGGAGATTGCGCTTGAGTCAGCTCCATGGTGAATGGTGAGGGGCGTAGTGATTAGGAATGGCACATCGTTATAGACAGAAAGATGAATTACTTAGGTATTTGTTTGTTGAAAGTGGGAAGGAACTGCTGATTCTTGAGTAGGAAGGAGACCTTTTCGAAAACCTCAGAACGAAGCAATGCATGAGTTTAGGACATTGACAAGGAAATCGGTACCTAGTATACTACATTAAGTACCTGTACCTACACATGTGCACACCTCTTAAAGACTGTATGCTTAGCTAAAATGCCACAATAATCCCGTCAAGTTGAGAAGCCGTGAGGAAGCAGCCGGTGTGCACTATCAACTGATGGAGTGAATACGGTATGAACGGATTTCCTGTAGATAGGTACTTAGGTACGTAGAGATTTTAACCCTGATGTGTTTAACGCTAACAGTACCCAGTAGCTACGTCTTTACTTGATATTGGAAGAGATATAAATTTGTTTATAAGTAAATATCTACCTTGGAGCCGAATAGTTACACTCGTCGTCTTGCTCCGGCCTCAAGGTTTCTATAAGTTACTATTTTGGATAAGCTTATATCTTAATCTATTCTGGGAAGACGTCGTCTAGGATATACCAGGCAGTACCACCTGCTGTGTCACCTATACTAACCAAAACAGGTAAGCCCGTTATGTCTCAGTATATCAGGGGTCTTTATCGATAGACAAGAGTGGCGCCACCCTTATACTGAATCTCCTTCCATTTCAGCCTCAGCCTTAGTTCCTACCTGTTACCTATTCTACTTCCCGACATCGTCGAACCTCACCCTTATTTTCGTCGCTTTATGGTCGAGCATAGCCTGAAATAGATACTCTCTTTTCGATTTCTTCTTAGTTCCCAATTATCTCCAAGTCAGCCCTTTATAATCCCCTTTATAATCCTATAAACAATGGGCAAACCTTCGAATCCAGGCGGCAAGGCAGCAGACGATGCTGTCTCGCTACATACAAACCCGGGCGAGAGTTCTATGTCGAACTACAACGACCTTGATGAATTCGATGCTCCCGAGATCTCTGTCGACGACTTACCGCCAAACTACTCCGAAACTGCAGAGAACGAATCGTTACTACCACCTCCAGGCGAGCTGATGCCCGTACCAGCAGCCAGCGGCTCCGCCAGAGCCTCGCAACCGTTCGTGGAAGATGCCACCGTTTTCAATGATGACAACACCGGTGCGCAATTCTGGGTTGCCAAGAGTCTCGAGTACCCAGAAGCACTCGAAAAACATATCCGACATCTCGCCGCGATACCCCCACGCCCATTCATCAAGGTCATCGGAACCCATACGGAGACGACGAGGGACAGCAAGGGCAAGACCGAGAAGAACACCGTCACCGACTTCGACGTCTCTGTCGAGCTGACACCTTACCTGTATTCGGATGCTCGGTACCTCCGATCGTGGACCCATATCCAGACCGTAGATAACGGCGAGAAGACCCGGCGCGGCACGAGAATTAGAAAGCGTGCTCCGGGTTCAAATCAGAACATCGAGGTCGGCAACCCGAAACCGACGCTCAAGGAATGGTGCCATAGATACTCTGCATCCCACGCTGGCCTGAAAGCTTTCGCGCTACAACGGAGGATGATCGGGTTCGACGAAGAACTCGTCAAGCAGCGCCTACGTCAATTAGTCAAGGACACGAACTACCGCGGCCACCTCAAGGTCGAACTCGTGACTAAGGACGCATTGGTCGAGTGCTACAATGAAGCTAGGACCAACCGATGGCGTCTGACATCGTGGATCCAATTCTTGTTTGCCTGTACACTGCTGTTCATATTCACCTGGCCGTATCTGTGGTTGAGAACAAAACGTTGGGAAGTTGTCGTGGCGGAGTGGCCGTATTCCCGGATGGCCGAAGGTGGCACCAAGGAATATGTGAGCATCAGCGAGGATCAGTGGTACAACATGTGGGGCCGAGCGATCTGCAAGGCCGTTCTGGAGAAGCGGCAGACGACCCTAGATCAATCAGATCTAAGGCGAGCGGAAGAGGCTGAACTCGCGCTTAATACTGGCAACTCAACCGTCGACGGTGCACTTGGTCTATTCAGAGCTGGTATCAACGCTATGAACGAAGTGAATCGGCATTTGGGTTGGGGCGGAGACTGTTAGGATCACTCTCCAGAAGCATATTATAGTTCACTCTGTCCGAATCTCGCTTTTGGCGTATTTGTCATGGCGCTCGGTTGCTTATGGATTCAGACACCGTTGTGGATGAAGCTTTCTATCACTACTATTCTACTGGGAATGAGATGTGTGATGATGTTGTTCGGATGGTGACGAGATCATGTGGGTTATGTGTTAAAGCCTTTAGGTAATAAATATCGAGACCATTTACCTAAAAGGGTTAACGCTATCAACCAGCTTGGTCAGCTTGCTAGGATGTAATAGGAGTACAGTATCAGACTTGCTTCAGCACTGTACGTATCTAGTATGCCATCGTCTCATGTATGCGGAAACCGTTTGATAACTTGTTAGCGCGTTGGAGTAGATATAAAAGGCTGGTGTCCCGCCAACGTTTACTCACGGAATGACTCGTCTGTCAAAACCAGGGTTTGTATGAATATCAACATGGCTCCCATCCGCGTCGCACTCATCGGCCTCTCCTCTTCCGCAAAGACCTCCTGGGCCGCCCAAGCCCACCTGCCATACCTTCTATCTCCAAAGGGGAAGTCTCACTATAAAATAGTGGCTCTATTAAATTCTAGTGTCCAGGCCGCGGAGGCAGCACGAGAGTACTTTGGGCTCCCTACCGACGTGAAAGCCTACGGTGACCCGAATGACTTGGCCGCGGACCCGGATATTGATCTTGTCACCTGTTGTACTCGAGTCGACACCCATAGCCTGGTTACAGGGCCATCTATACGAGCAGGAAAAGCTGTGTACATCGAATGGCCACTCGTCGAGAACTACGAGGAAGCCGTGGCCTTAACGGGGGATAGGCGGCTGGACAACAGCATCATCGGACTCCAGGAACGTGTTTCGCCACTCGTTCTTAAGCTCAAGGAACTCCTTAGGTCGGGGCGCATAGGCCGGGTATTGAGCAGCGATATTCGCACCTACGGCAACCTCGTGCCGCGTGACGTGCTACCGGACGGACTGTCCTACTTTGCGGAGAGGTCGATAGGCGCTAATCTCATTACTGTTGCTTACGGACACACGATCGACTATGTCCACGAAGTCCTGGGCGAATTCGCGTCGTTCCAGAGCCGCATGCAGATCCAGCGACCAGTCATCAAAATCATGGACAACGGCGGCTCTCAAATAAGAGAAATGCAATCCGATGTGCCCGATTTCCTAGCTATCCACGGAAAACTTGCTAAGGGTAAGGGTGATATCGCGGAGGACGCCACGTTATCGCTCACCTATCGCACGGGTGAGCAATTTAAGGGGACTCCGGGTTTCGTATGGACGATTAACGGCGAGATCGGGGAGATCATGGTGACGGCCAACGGCGTGTACATTCAGACTGACTCGTACAAAGACGCTATAGAGATCAAGGTTCATGATCAC